GTAAGGTAAACCTCATGTGAACTGATAACGTTCATTGATAAGCGTACACATTACATTGAAATAGTGTAATTCAATTGCTTAATATTAACGCTACGTCTCCGTCAACAAATCCTACAGAGGGAGGGGGTAATGAAACATAACATAAACTAACCTGGATGAATCCAAGTTAAACTAACAACGTTTTCTAAGAATTTTTATCATTGCCTACCAGACGCTTAGATAAGCATATTTCCAACATCAAAGGTACCGCTATATTATAACCAACATTACCGTCTACATTTTATAAAAACAAAGACAATGTCTGTCGTTATGACATAACAAATTCTAAGAAATTTATCATGGGTATTACTATATTAAAACGCTCATTGGCGTCAGGATTTTATGAAAACAATGACAACGTCTGTCGTTATGGCACTATAATTTCTAAGAATGTTATCATGGGTTACCAGACGCTTAGGTCAGCATATTTCGAACATCAAAGAGATCACTGTACAGAAATATCGTATGAATCTTATCATCGGATGCCAGACGCGTAGGTAATTATATTTTCAACGTCAAAGATGTTACAATATATTAATGGTCACTGTCGTATGCATTTTATGAGAAAAATGGCAACGTTGTCTTTTTTCACGCCTACGCATTTTATTATTTTACTGTATAACCTGTTAAACGCTCTTTATCCTGTCACATATGAGTTTAATAGACGTTAACGCACAGTTGATTATTCGAAAACTATAAATATATTATTTTAATATTTTACACGCGCAAATAAAAAATCATGAACCAGCAAACGTCTTCTGTACCAGGTATGTAGATTTTATAAAATTATAAACATTTTAATATCTCTTTAATTTTACCATCCCTACTATCTTTATTTATTTTTTATTTTTTCCAATAAATAAAAAATTTATTTCATTTTTGATTAAATCTACTTCCATGACATCTGTTTCATCACGTCAGGCGGTTAAGCGTAGTTGGGCCAACAACAGCGCGGTTAGGTCGAAAAGGTTACATATGCAATTGACGGATACCCGTGATTTCACCGAGATCGATTACGCACTGGAGCGGGGGGCGTTTGGTTTTATCGGAAGAACGTGGAAAATTTCGCGAGCTATCAAGATTTTCTGCGCGCCGTTAAATCCGAGCTGGTGGCCAGACTCGCTGAAATTGTAGGTAACCGGCCGATCAAGTATAATCTCAAATTGGAGGCCTCATACCATATACCATATGGCATAATAAATTCTAAGAATTTTATCATCGTCTATCAGACGCTTAGGTCAGCAAATTTCAAATATCAAAGAGGTCACCGCACAGTAATGTCGTATGAATCTTATCATCGGCTGTCAGACGATTAGCTAAGCATATTTCCAACATCAAAGGTACCGCTATATTATAACGTTCATAGACGTCTGGATTTTTATTTTTTTTTACATAGTATTTTATCATTGCCTACCAGACGCTTAGGTTAGCATATTCTCAAAATCAATGGTATTACTATATTATAACCTGCGCACAGGGTACGAAAATCGCAAAGGTGATATTATCTTTTTACAGTAAAACGAATACAAAACTACTAGCTCGCAAAACGCCATAGAGCTTATAACAGAAGAAGCGTTAAGATGGTTGCGACAAAGGTAACATAGAGAGAAAAACCGTCAACAACTCGATGTAACACAACGATAACATAAATAATCAAAAAACATATTTTCTTGACAGCATATTCGATCTATGTGTATCCAACAGCATATATTTATCGATTAAAGTCATATATATTTTGTTTGAATTTTTAATCGTATCCTTCCCACTGTTATAAATTATTATTGTATTCAACTAATATAACTGTAATTATAATAATTAAAACGTATGTAAATTAGACATGCAGACTTATCAAATATTATACAAATCAGTCAGGTGAAAAACTAAATTAGTCGTCTGTGATTTATATTACTATATGCATGGGTATGAACAAAATAGACGGACAGTGTTCATTACAATCATTTATCCAGTAATGTTCAATATCTTAGTCGTATAGACCTCATCCGTTATCGCGAATCAGATGTATGTATGAAGGGGGAGGCAGCAGTATAAAATTGTGTGCTGATTACTGATCAGCAACTTTAATCTATTGTGTGTTTAAGATAGATTATTTCAATGATACGTCGGATAAATTGAAATTTTCTTGTTGAAAATGATTCGATAGAGTTTTTAAACTAGTTAGTGAGTTATTGAAAATTTTTCGAGAATTGCAATATTTTGCGTAAACTTCTAAGCGATAAAGTCCATATTGATAGTGGTGACTTTTTACATTACGAAAGTTGTGATTTATCAGGCGCTGTAAAAGACTCAGACAATCCTGAATGTGAATGCTCGGTTGTAAAGCAAAAATATTACGAGCTTTTGAATTCAATCGAAACAATTGAAAAGATGGTGAATGTGAATCGCAATGACAGTAATTGAATCTTGACTTTATATTATATCATATTGGATACACTAAGGTGTAAATTCAATAAAATCAACGACTTTATTGATTCATCAATGTATACCATTTCACAAATATCTCAGGTGTACATTGGTCTGGACCCGAACGATTCATTGGCCAAAAGTCAAGTTTGTAAAAAATCGTTATAAACTTATTATATAATTAATTACTGTATTAAAAGAATTATTTTCTTCTTCTAAGTATAAAAAAAAATTGATTTGTCATGTTGTTGTAACTATCCCTTCAAATACGATTTATTATAATCCTGCAGTCCTTTTTTTTCTTTTGCCCAATTTAGAATTTTTTTATACAAGAGCTATGAAACACCAGTTCATAAATTATTCTAAATACTTGAGTCTATTACAAAATTTGCGTAATACATGATTTCATGTAGAATTTGTGTAATGACATAGAAAATCATGAACTAAAAAAATTTCACAAAATTATACTTCAACAACCCTCCATGAAAAAATTACAAGTTCCAGTAAAACAAAACTTGTTTCTACATGAAATAGGATAAATTGTAAATTAAAAAAAATCACTAATAGCTGCCCGAGTTAAAATAAATCAGATCTCAATACATTTGGAGGTCAAAAATATATAATTAAAAATGAAAAAGAATTTAAAAAGTTGAAATTTTTTTATCAAGCTATTATAAGACTGTATAATTATATGGATAATAAATAAATACATTTTCTGTAAATCATTAATAACACATGCATTTTCATATACAAAATCCATATAAAAGTCGCACAGTTGCCAAACGTATGCCAAAAATATATCTTTATTAACTTTGATTTTTCTTGACAAATTAGCTTACAATTAGTTAGGAAATAGCAAAAGACAAATAAAATTCATTTGGATATGCATCCTTCTGTAACTGGACGAATCGAAATACATTTATTTTGTATTTATCTTCGATGGGAAGCTGAGAAGGTATTAATTTTACTATGATGTGTTTTTTTTGTGTCTCTTACCACTTTTTCTCAGCTCTCATCGAACCGATTTCTTTCAACGGTACGTCAAAAGATCACAAATCGTATCTAGTCGAAGAAATTAACCTCAAAAATTGAAAAAATTTCCCTCGTTCCCCGTAAATGGAGGAAATCTCCAAAAAAATTACAAAATTAAAAATCGCTAAATTTTTAAATATTTTTTACTTAAAACTGCTATAACTTTTTCAAAAATGAACAAATTAATATAATTTTTTTTATAGATGCGTAATGTCTTTACCTATCATTTGGTATTTTTTTTTATAAATTTAACCCTTTACCAGCCCACAGGGGGGGATTCAAAATGACAACTATTTCACAAAAAATTAACTTTTTAAACTTAACTTTTGAAAGTGTTCCGGAAAGTCTGACACTGTCTTCACGGTGAAAATTGCTACCAAATGCTATTATTGTGTGAAAATTCTCGATTTTATTTTTTACATTTTTAACTTTATAATGCTATAACTTATTGAAAAATCTATGGATCGACAAAAACTTTTCATGAGAAATAATATTTTTTAATAATCTCTCTTTCATTTGACATACTTTATCTTAATAGGATATTAATGATGAACAAGCAGATCTTGTAGTTTTTGGAATAATCCACCAATTTTTTAAAATTAAACACTATCTAAAGATTTGCATCGAAGCGTTTTTTTTTATAATGATTTTAATCACTGTCAGATATCATTATACTTGATCCAACTATGCCAAGTCACCACTGTGCCACGGCCCCTCTGTATTGGGTTTTTTTTTTAAATAATTAAGTATATATTCATGTGTTTTTACACTATACTTAAACAATGTAAAATAATTCATTGTTTTCATACATTTTATACAAACCGCTCCCAACAATTATTGTTAAAAGGTCATCTTTCCTCTCAAATTTATATTACATCGGTGGACACTTGGTTATTTTTAATATATTTATTTGATAAAGACATCTGTTTTAAATTTTGTAAATATCAACTTTTTGCCGATGATCTCAAACTTTATTATACTATATCTCGTGTAGAAGATTGCCATCTATTACAAGAAGATTTAAATAGATACTTCAATTGGGTGTACAAAAAATTATCTAAACCTAAATGTAAAGAAATGCTCTATAGTGTCATTCCATAGAAATAAATCTAAAATTGCATTTAAATGCAAAACTAATGACTAAAATCTTTTAATAAGAATAGGTTTTAATANATTGCATTTAAATGCAAAACTAATGACATCTTTTAATAAGAATAGGTTTCAATTAGATAATTAAACAAGAAAAGCAACAGCAGTTTTAAAAAGCAAACATTATTTTTGAAAATTGAGAATGGTATTTCAATTTTTTGGCATTTACAAATTCGATTAGATTAAAATCTGGCGAAACAATGTAAATATGATGTATTGGGTTTTAGTAATACTCTCAAACACAACATATAAGGCAAGTAAAATATTAATAAAATTATTACTATCAAATCCTAAGATTATTTATTTTAAATATAATGTAATTAGACAAATTAATAAAAGTAAAATCATTTAAAAAAAAACTAATTAGGAAAACCATTTACGATAACATATTTTATTATATCAATATAATAATTTTGAAGAGCTGCATATATGGTATTTCTACTCCACGGGCAATTATTTTCATGTGCGTATTTTATACAATCAAATTGATAATTTGCAGCAGCAAGTCTTGTAGTACTTTCGTCCCACTCACATCCATTTTCATGAGCATATTTTAGACAGTCTATATGACCTTTTGCAGCAGCTGCACTGGTTGTCCCTACATCCCATAGATAACCATTTTCATTNGTCCCTACATCCCATAGATATCCATTTTCATAAGCAAATATCAAACAGTCAATACAACCACTTGCAGCAGCTTCCCTGGTTGTGCCTTCATCCCATTCACAACCATTTTCAATAGCATATTTCAAGCAGTCAAAACGTCCATTTGCAGCAGCCCCTCTCGTAATACATCTTACCCAATCATATCCTTGTTCATAAGCATATTTTAAGCAATTTAAATTACCATAAACAGCAGCTGTGACTATTGTATCTACAACCCAATAACATCTATTTTCATGAGCATATTTTAAACAATCGAAACAACCATATGCTGCAGCAGCTCTAGTTGTTCCAATATCCCAATAACATCCATTCTTGTGAGCATATATTAAACAATCAAAATTACCATTTAAAGCTGCAACTATAGTTGTGCCATCATCCCATTGGCATCCATTCTCATGGGCATATATTATACAATCTAAATTACCTTTTAAAGCTGCAACTCTAGTTATGCCCTCAAACCATTTACATCCATTTTCATGAACATATTTTAAGCATTCTATATTTCCATTTAAAGCAGCAACTTTAGTTATTGTTTCGTCCCATGGACATTCATTTTCATGAGCATATTTTAAACAGTCTAAAAAGCCACTTTTTGCAGCAGCTCTAGTTGTATCTTCATCCCAATTACAGCCATTTTCATGAGCGTATATTAAGCATTCTAAATGGCCGAAACTTGCAGCTACTACTGTAGTTCTATCATCCCATTCGCATCCATTTTCGTGAGCATATATTAAGCAATCTAAATTATCATAAAGAGCAGCTGTTTCTGTTGTACCTTCACTCCAATGGCATCCATTTTCATAAGCATATTTTAAACAGTCTAAACAACCACTTGACGCAGCATCATTAGTTGTATCATCATCCCATGGGCATCCATTCTTGTGAGCATATATTAAACAATCTAAATTACCATTGGAAGCAGCAGAACTAATTGTACCTTCTGAACATGTGAATCCATTTTCTAAAGCATATTTTAAAATTTCTAAATCACCGTTAAAAGCAGCTACTGACGTTAAACTTTTATTCAACTCGCATTTATTTTCATATGCATATTTTAAGCAATCTAAATGTCCATTTTCAGCAGCAGCGCTTGTTGTTTTTTATCCCATTTACAACCATTTAAATGAACATATTTTAAGTTTTCTAAATTACCATATTTTGCAGCTGATTCTGCTGTGCTTTCATTCCAAGGACATCCATTATCATGTGCATATTTTAAAATTTCTAAATTATCACTCATGACAGCTCTATTAGTTGTGCCCACATTCCACTTGCATCCATTTTCGTGAGCATATACTAAACATTCCAAACTACCACTTTTAGCAGCCTCTCTTGTTGTTGTTAGATCCCATGGACAGCCCTTTTCATGAGCATATTTTAAGCATTCTAAAGAGCCACTTGCTGCAGATGCTCTAGTTGTACTTTCATTCCATTTACATCCATTTTCATGAGCATATTTTAGACATTCTAAATGTCCATGAGCAGCAGCTGTTTCTGCTGTTCTTTCATTCCATGGACATCCATTTTCATGTGCATATTTTAAGCATTCAAAAAATCCATTAGCAGCAGCATCCCTTGTTGTTTTATGATTCCATCTACATTTATTTCTATGAGCATATTTTAAGCATTCTAAATGCCCATTTCTAGCGGCAGCCCTTGTTGTTTTTTTATCCCATCTACAGCCATTTTCATGTGCATATTTTAAGCATTCTAAATGCCCATTTCCAGCGGCAGCTCTTGTTGTTTTTTTATCCCATCTACAGCCATTTTCATGAGCATATTTTAAGCATTCTAAATTACCATATTTTGCAGCTTCTTCTGCTGTGCTGTCATCCCATGGACATCCATTTTCGTGTGCATATTTTAAACATTTGAAATGTCCATTTGCAGCAGCTTCAGTTGTTGTATATTTATCCCACTCACATCCACTTTCGTGAGCTAGTTTTAATGTTTCTATGTCACCATTTGCAGCAGCTTTTTTTGTCGTACCTCTTTCAAATGGACAAATTTTTGTGTGTTCTGAATATCTAATTTCAATCCCTAAATGAGCAAGAGAATTAATTAATTTTACTGAATATAATTTTTTATTTAGCGTAGTAAAATATAAAGAGAAAGACAGTTTAATTATAGTTTTAATGTTACTAATACTTGAAAAGTATTTTAAAGTGAAACTTCAATCGTGATTAGTATTATTGTCAGATATCTGTGTTGCGGGTCTCTATCAATTAACTATAAATTTTTTTATAAATATTTTGTTTTATTAGAAAAAACAAATTAACAATATTTTAGAATATATATTAATACTGTATATTGTTATAATTAAAAATCTAATAATTACTATCAATGTAATATTATTTTAAGTCTGTGATTCATTTAATCGAGTTACTTATGTCAGTTAAATCATTTATTATTTAAATATAGCTTGAGTAATATAAATAAATATTTGTAAAGTTTAAGAATTGAAATTTGTTTTATAATTGTAATAAAATATTTTTTTAATTTTTAATTTTAATTACACGAAATGGTTTTTTAACTAAAAAGTTACTTAGACATGATTACTATAATTTATATTTAAGGGTTCTTTTACGATAAAAATGCAAAAAAATAATTAGCTTTTCTGATAAATATACTGTAAATAGTAATTATAATATTTCCTGACTGCATATTAGTCTTTAAAATACCATTTTTTTAATTCTCAAAAAATTTCCTATTTAATTATGTCAATTTCAAACTTGCAATTGAACTAAAAGTTATGGTAATACATTCAATTTTTTTTACGATAAACTTTATTAATAACTTTTAATCAACTTTAAA